TGATGATGCTGCTGATGATGATGATGCTGATGCTGATACTGATGCTAATGACGATGATGATGTTGATGATGGTGATGCTGATGCTGCCGATTATGATGATGATGCTGATACTGATAACGATGATACGGAGGATTATGCTGATGCTGATAATGCTGGTGCTGATGGTGATGCTGATGATGATGATGACGATGTTGATGATGATGATGCGATGCTGATGCTGATGTTGATGACGATGCTGATGTTGTTGATGATGCCGATTTGTATGATGATGATGTTGTTAATGCGGATGCTGATGCTGCTGCTGATGGTGATGCTGATGATGATGCTGATACTGCTGATGATGCTGATGCTGCTGATGATGATGATGATGCTGATGATGATGATGCTGATGATGATGATGATGATGGTGGTGGTGGTGGTGATGATGATGATGATGTTGATGATGATGATGATGATGATGATGATGATGATGATGATGATGATGATGGTGTTGACCATGAGGGAGAAGAGGAGGAAGAGGAGGAGGCGGAGGAGGAAGAGAAGGAAGATGAAGAGGAGGAGGAGGAGGAGGAGAAGGAGGAGGAGGAGGCGGAGGCGGAGGAGGAGGACGAGGAGGAGGCGGAGGAGGAGGAGGCGGATGAGGAGGAGGAGGAGGATGAGGAGGAGGACCGCCTCTGCGACGCCTTCTACTGCAGGCGCGCCCCGCGCCACCCAAGGATGTATCACAGGGCCTGAGAGGATGTTGTTCGCTGGGTACGGGCGCAGGGTTCGGAGGACGGGGGGCGTTGGGAAAAGGATTAGGAGGAGGCGGGAGGGGATGAGAAGGGGGAGGGAGGAGGAGGACTGACGCCACGAGCTCATCCCGATGGCATACTGAAGATGATGACGATGCGCTGATGGGAATGCTGATGCTGGTGATGATGAGGATGACGATGCTGATGCTGACGATGATGATTATGATGATGATGCTGATGATGATGCTGATTCTGCTGATGCTGTTGATGATGTCAATGGGGATACTGCTGTGGTTGGATACGGATGGGGATGTTGATGATGTTGGGGATGATGATGCTGCTGGTGTTGCTGGTGATGATGCTTCTGATGCTGAAGGGGATGACGAGGACGATGATGAGGTTACTGATGATGATGCTGAGGCTGTTGCTGTTGGTGATGATGATGCTGGCGGTGATGGTGGTGGTGATGATGCAGCTGATGCTTCTGCTGATGATGATGATGATGCTTATGATGTTGATGCTGATGATGCTGATACTGATGATGATGATGCTGTTGATGATGCTGTTGAAGACGATGCTGATGATGTTGATGATGCTGATGGTGATGCTGCTGATGATGATGTTGGTGCTGCTGCTGCTGATGATGATGATGGCGATGGGGACGATGACGATGCTGCTGTTGATGATGATGATGCTGCTGCTGATGATGGTGATGATGATAGTGCTGCTGCTGATGACGATGATTATGCTGATGATGCTGAAGATGATGATGGTGATGATGATGCTGATGATGATGATGATTATGATGATGGTGATGATGATGGTGCTGAGGATGTCGAGAATGGTGTCGCTCATGATGATGCTGCTGATGATCCTGATGCTGATGATTATGATGCTGTTGATGCTAATGCTGGCAATGATGCGGCTGATGATAATTCCGATGATGCTGATGATGATGTTGATGATGACGACGATACTACTGATGATTATGATGGTGATGATGAGGATGATGATGCTGATGATCATGATGATGTTGATGATGATGCTGATGCTGATGATGTTGATGATGCTGACAATGGTGACGGCGATGATGATGATGATGATGATGGTGATGCTGATGATGATGATGATGATGATGATGATTAGCATGATGATGATCATGGTGGTGATGATGATGATGTTGTTGATGGTGATGGTGATGGTGATGGTGATGGTGATGGTGATGCTGCTGCTGATGATGCTGCTGCTGCTGCTGCTGCTGATGATGATGATGATGATGATGATGATGATGAATGTGGTGGTGGTGGTGGTGATGATGATGATGATGATGATGGTGGTGGCGGTGGTGGTGGTGCTGATCATCGTGGAGATGATGATGATGATGATGATGATGAGGAGGAGGAGGAGGAGGTGGAGGAGGAGGAGGAGAAGGAGGAGGAGGAGGAGGAGGAACGGTAGTCGGAGGGGGGAGGAAAGGATCGGGCTCGCCTTGCTCGTCGGCGGCGGCGGCGTCGGCGGCGAGATACGGGCATGAGGTCGAGGCCGTCGTTTTCGTCGTCGGTTTTTGGGTGACTCTGTCGGCCCTCTCGCCATGGCTTGGCGCGGTCCGAGAAAAGCTGGTCAGGATGGACTGCAGGATGGGTGGTCAAGCAGTGGCGAAGCGTCCTGGCGTGCCTATAGGCCTACCAAACCATGTTCTAACAACCTTATGTGGTTCCCACCAAATGTTCTTAGACCATTTCTGGCTGGGACTATCTTGTTTTAACACATCGGTTTTATGTTCTCAGAACATTGCTTTTGTTCTTAGACCATTTTGGGGTTCTAAGAACATTTCGTGGTAGGCCTATGGCAATGCAGGGACGGTCGGTCCCTGCTCAAGGAGGGGGGGAGTTTGGGAGCAGCTTTCGGGGATCGCCATGAGGAGCGAAGGTCCTCAGGGATCGGGGGCCTGGAGTTTTGAAAGCTGGCACCAGGGAAAATCCTGTGATCCAGGACCTGTTTGCGCCGAAGACCCCTCATGCTCGTGCCAACGCGGTTGGGATCAGCCCGATCGCACGCTTCTTGCCCACTCCCATTCCCCTTCTTGTGAAACAGGTTCTGCGCCGGTCGACGCAGGTTTGCGTGCCACTCCAGGCCGCCAGTTCCAGTTCGTTGTTTTTGTCTTCTGTTGCTTATGTTGCATTGGCCGGGCTGGGGGCCGAGCCGGCGCCAGGCCAGCCTTCCGAGAATGCCCGCTCCTGCTTCTGCTCATGCTTCTGCCTGCCTGCTCGTGGTTCTGCGCGTGCTCCTGCTCGGCGCCCTCCGACAGTGCCCGCTCCTGCTGCTGCTTCTCTGCCTCTTTCCGGCAGCGCGTATGCGCTATGTCCCGTTCTTCTGCCTGCCCTAGAAGATGCAAACCAAACTCAGAGCGTGAATTACCTCCCCCGCTTTCGCTTCCAGACAAAACCAAGTCATACCACGCGCCTCCTCGTCAAGGGGCCTGACCAGTACAGGCTTCAATTTGGCATCGTTTGGTATCTCTTGGAAGCGAGGGTGGTCAAAAGCGAGGTAGGTTTGTTTTCCCCCTACAAACGCCGCAAACATAAACTTGTGGAGCTCTGCGCGGATTTCTTAAATTTGCGCTGGGCCCCCCCCCCCGCGGCGCTTCCGGCGCCGCCCTTGGCGCGCTCCGCGCGCAGGGGAGGGGGGTCCAGCGCAGATCCAAGAAATCCGCGCGGAGCGCCAAAAATCTATGTTTAACCGAAAACGGCCGAGAATAAACCCCCAGGGAGAATAAAGTTCGGCGGTTACGGTGTGATAATAAAAGTTGCCCACCAGAGCCAGCATAAAGATGTTAACAGAGGAGCCAAAGCCGAGGATATCTTGAGACATCCTTGGCTGTTTGTCCTCCCTGAGACATCCTCAACAATGGCTTGTCTCGCTTGAGACATCCTCGACAAATCTTTCGTTTCGCTTGAGACATAGAGAGATAAATATAACTATAGAAAGAGAAGAGGAGGTAAAGGAGGAAGAGGAGGAGGAGGAAGAGGAGAAACAGCACGAGGAGGAGAGGAGAAGGAGATAGCAAAAATCAAAGTTCAAAACTTATTCTATTTAATTTGTAAACGCTTAATGGAAATTCAAAGTTTCATCTGCTCGTATAGGGTAGCTCATCTGCCTCGGTTTCCTTGGATAATAAAGCACAGCGATAAACAAGTTCAGGGGCCACGAGGAGGAGGAGAACGAAAGAGAGAGATAGAGAGAAAACAAGAAAGACAGAAAGACAGAAAGAGATACAAAGAGACATAAGAAAGTAGACAAACATATTGAACGAGAGGTAAGAGAGAAGAAATAGAGAGAGGAGGGGGAGGAGGAGGAGGAGACGAGGAGAAGTAGAAGAGAACGACAGGATTCCTAAAGCATTGCTTGTTTCGCTTGATGGCGAGCTTTTCCCCGTGATAATGAAGTTCGGCCTCCGCGCCCTCGCGCCCCCGACCAAACTCTTATTGGCCGTGGATAATCAACTCTTATGTGTATAGGGGGGGGGGGTACATTATTATCGTGGGTATGGGGTTGTGCCGTTATTTTTCTTCTCTTATAAATCGACCCGCGTTGTAAGGATGGTCAATTTTCCCAAGGGTGCCCTCGCGTCCTTGCCTCCTCGGTCCATCCTTGGCCACTTGCGCTGGCCGCGCCCTGTTCGAGAAGTGTCGACGTGGCCTCTCGAGACCCTTGCATCCTTGTCGCGCATCCTCATGAATATTCAAAGCTAGTCAAACATCGTCGGGGGGCGTTTTTTTTTGTGTTCGAGTATTATTGATGTTTGGGGGTGTTATTTGATTATTTATCTCGTCCACAATCCCCCTGCAGGGGGACATACCCGACCTAAGGATTTGGGCCGACTGTGTGTCCTGTTCTTCTGCCCGCTCCTGCGCAGGCCCACCTCCGATGCCGGGGCCCTGGCGCACCCTCCGATCCCTCGCCCAGCAGCTCCACGATCCCGCACGCGAAGCTCCCGCTTCTATTCCTCCTCCCTCCTCCTCCTCCGCCTCCTCCTCCTCCTTCTCCGCCTCCTCCGCCTCCTCCGCCTTCTCCTCCTCCTCCTCCGCTTTCTCCGCCTCCTCCTCCTCCCCCTCCTCCTCCTCCTCCTCCTCCTCCACCTCCACATCCACATCCACCTCCACCTATTCCTCCTCGTAATCCTCCTCCTCCTCCGCCTCCTCCTCCTCCCCCTCCTCCTCCTCTTCCTCTTCCTCCTCCTCCTCCTCCTCCTCCCCCTCCTCCTTCCAAGCGGCCATTGTCGGCCCAACCTGGCTCGCGGAAACGTAAGACTCGAGTAAGCCGGCACTCGGGTTTGCCGACGTGTTTTGACGCGCTGGCGCCCTGGACTGTGGCGGTCCAGCTTCCGCGGGAGGTTTGCAGCGGGAGCTTTCGCGCCGACTTTTTTTGATTGGGTCGCGTCGCTTTCGTGATGACCCCGTCGGGCCACCCCGAGTCCCCCGAGCCCGAGTCTTACGTCTCGCCGACTGGAGAGCCGGCCGGCCGCCCCGCGGGGAGCGGCCGACAGATGCCGCCGGAGCGGGCCCTCGGCCGCGGCGCGGCGGCCGAGCCGCTGGCGCGGCTCGAGGACGACCCCGGCGCCGAGGGCGCCCTCGTGCCGGCCGCAGCGCTGTGGGGGCGCCGCGGCGCGCGCGTCTCGCCGCAGCTGGTCCTGGGCCTGGCCGGCTTCGTGCTGGCCACCCTCGCGGGCGCGGCGTTGGTGGCGCGCCGCGCGCGGCATCAGGCCCAGGCGGAG